CTTTTTAAACTTTAAATAACTTGGTTCTTTCGAGGTACCGGTGTGTGTGTGTGTGTGTGTGTGTGTGTGTGTGTGTGTGTGTGTGTGTGTGTGTGTGTGTGTGTGTGTGTGTGTGTGTGTGTGTGTGTGTGTGTGTGTGTGTGTGTGTGTGTGTGTGTGTGTGTGTGTGTGTGTGTGTGTGTGTGTGTGGAAAGAGATCTGGTACAGATATATAAAGAGAGAGATAAAAAGAAAAAGAAAAGGAGATATAAAAATCAGACAACAATGCATGGGAACTCAGTTTTATGCCTCCATGCGATCTTCAGACTAATTCTGTATGTATAAATGTTTATCTCTAATAAAGTACACTTTTCCTTTATAAATATTGCACATTTTAAACTATACGTATTATATATATATATATATATATATATATATATATATATATATATATAATTAGTTAGTAAGGTTAACACCGAATGCCGAGAGTCTGTTACATTTTTGAATGCAATCTTCAGGCGGTGTGTGGATCATAAGCACAACTAAGTAAATTTAATAATAATAATTTAATAAAATAATAATAATCAATACATAATGACTAAATACAAAAAGAATCTTAAATACTCAATAATAAAGTTACTAAACAACATTAACTAGAAATAAATTGTTCAATCTACCCGAAGTTGTTCTTGCTCCTATATCTATTATATTATATAATTTTTTCTTCGAAAGCCGAAGAAGAATAACGAAAATTGCCAGAATTAAAAACACGAGGATACATCAAGACTGTTCCATTCAGGGCTCTGCTAATAAAGGTACCTGGGATGCCATGGACAAAAGCTCATTAGAACAGTTCCATATCCAGAACCGTTACACTCATTCTAGGAACCCCTGACTGATTGACCATATCTTCAGGGGTGTAGCCGTACTCTCCACGTTTGCTCAATTGCGGGTTGGTGAAGTTTTTTAACTCATTATGGAGGTTTTTAATTCAGATGTATCCTTCTCCTAGATTGGTTACCACCTAAAGCATTAGACACAATCTTTCCTTATACTTATCCATAGTTGAGAGGTAGAAGAAATGGATTAATACCCTTCCCAAGATAATATATAACACAGACATATATTATATATATATATATATATATATATATATATATATATATATATATATATATATATATATAAATATAAAAAATTCAAGAGGATAGAATCCAGGTAGATTTCTTTTTTTTGAATTTGTAGGTCTGATGAATTGGATCAAATTGCGATTCCAATGTAATAAATTATAACCATGGAATATTAGTGTTTAAGCCTTTTTTATTTTATATATATATATATATATATATATATATATATATATATATATATATATATATATATATATATATATATGGTATGTTTGCTTAATTTATCATTGTATTTTTACAATTTTAGAATATGTTGTTGCCCATCCGGACAAAAATTGCGGTTAAACTATGCAAAGATCATTTTTTGTCCTGTTTTATTCTGATTAAATAAAATAGCCTATTTTTGACCACATAAGACAGCCAAATAAATATGCAATTAATATACATGTAAAATAATTTAAATAAAATAAATGTTTCTAGTATTGTGGAGATTCCTGGAATGTTCGACACATGATGAGGCATATTTGAATTTGAAATGGCTTCTTGGCTTCACCTCGTCAACGAGGACCTGGAAAGATGGATTATCCCCGTCTGCTGCAGACTGGCAGGTGGCTAATCAGTTCAATTCCGAATAGACAAATCAAGCTGCAGCGGCTACAAAAGTTTTGGTCCAGTGTTGGTGTTGTAGTGATACAGTTGATATGTTTTTCAACTCTTTCCTCTTGTTCATGAGATCACCTCAGCGTCCATTTTCAAAGAAGCAGACACCTCGATGCCTAGTGAGTCTCTAGTTTAGGAATAGGTCAGACAATTATCGATTGACAATGTTTCAAACTGAGGGATTCCTTTAGAGCGTTTTAGTTTCTCTTTAGGGGAACCCCAATTCTAGCTTTGTCCAGCGAAGAGTTCACCATACAGCACAGTTATGGGTAGGTGTCGGTCGTTCATCCTGGTGACTTGTCCTTCTCAGCGTAGCAGCATCTTGACTTCAGTGCTAGTAACCCCCGCGTGGGTAGGACTTCAACGTTGGAGATAATGTCATTCCAATGGGTTTTGGGGGATGCTGCGGAATCAGTGCCCAAGAGGTTGCAGCTGGTAACAATAAGTGCTCCAAGACTAGAAGACGTACAGGAGAATGGTCAGTAAAACAGCTCTGTACACATGATCTTAATACTTGGCTTTCCATAATGTTTTTGGAGCAATTTAATTTGTTTTAAATTCCTCATATATGTTTAGAAACCATTGTGCTGTTCGCGTATTTACTATTTTGTGTGCGTAATTTCTATATACTGCTGATTTAACAGTGGTTTGTTATATTATATTGTTTTGCAAGCAATTGACATTCAAGTGACAATCGTACTTTACTCTGCAGTTACAAGTGCGGTTTGTTTTTTGTTTTTTTTTGGGGGGGAGGATATTCCTCTGTTATGCTTTTTTACAATATTATTTATGTCATGTTCTCGGTGCGACAGTAGCAGACTTTTACTTATGTTCCTATTGAATATCTTGTGAAGAGTTCTTTATAGGAGGTTGTGCATGAGTTTAATTAATATTTTCCCTACGTTTACAGACACACATCTTCCAAATACCCAACAACAATAATCAAGCAGATATATATATATATATATATATATATATATATATATATATATATATATATATATAATCTTCAAAAATTTAAATGTAATATCACTCGTTATTTTCTGTCTTGTCAATTTTTTTTTTATTATTATTCTTTCTCCTTATTAGTGTTTTTCTCATATTCTCTAACACTCAGTAACCCCTTCCGTCTTAGCAGCTTTATTGCTTTGCTTGGAGTGATAAAATCCTATTTCACTCAATGTAGTTCTGCAAATTTTCTAGCCTTGTAATCTGTTTTGATCAGACAAAATATTGCAAATGTTTAAATGAAGCTAATTTACCTGTAGTCTCATGGGGGAGTGAAAATTTTCTTTATTTCCTCTGGTGACAGTTGTTAGCATTGGAGCTAGGATTTCAAAGCAGTTACGCTCTTCTGACTTGCCAGTTTAACATTACTACTTCATTTAACTCTATTTGGTCTAATCCCGTACACGAGGCTTATTAAATATTCACATACATACACACATAAACACGCACACATGCACACACAATTTTCAAGGCTCTTATACTTTGTATCTGAATCCGAAGGTCGAGTTAACCGAGTCGCTACAGTGTGGGCAAATGAAATCAATGAAACGTGTTCGGTTCTTGTCTTGTCCGTTGATATCAACTTTGTGTTTCATGTTCTTGTACATTTTTCATTCGTCATGAAATAAACATGTTTTTAACATGTCACATTTTAGCATTCAAAATAAATTTGTGTTACTTCGTAGTTTATTGCTCATTATCATCGATGTTCAAACAAATAATGTATATGATATTCACTAAGTTTAACATTTACTAACCAACAGAAAAAAATCAACCAGTAAAACTCTATTGCTACTATTTTCAAAACAGATTCTCTTCACTTGATAAGATGCTGACAAAAACCCTTTCGTCGGTCACGTAAAGAAAACTTTTCAAATTTTGGTATACAACGAGATTTAAAAAAAACAACTACATATAAATCATTATTCGAAACTAATTTTAAATTAGGAATTTGTCGATCAAAACGTTTTAAATGTTTTCTTTAAAAATACCTCGTGTCTTGATTAAAAATTCATTAATTTTTTTAATAAATGTCTTCATAAGATAAGAGAATTTTGAGTTTGCTTTTTGGACGATGATTAAAAAAGATTTTATGCTGCATTTGCAATTTTATAAATTTTTGAAAATTCCATATTTTATTATTTATCCATCCTGTCGCCATCTCTTCTTTATTTACATATACCGACACATGTATATACATCTGCAAATACAGGCACTTTCTGTCTATTTCTTTCTTTCTCTCTCTCTCTCTCTCTCTGTCTTTCTCTGTCTCTCTCTCTCTCTCTCTCTTTTGCTATCTCTGTATCCTTTTCTGCCCCGCCTACAGACTTCTGACCCGACACTCCCCATTAGTTTCAACTTATTTGTTTTTCCCCGTAATTTCTTCCTCTCCTCCTACCCAACCCTGACTATCCTTACAATCACATACACGCCCTCAGTCACATTTCCACCTCCTTCTATCACCCACTTCTACGTCATCTCTCGTTCTCCAAACTCTGAAAGCTGTTTCTTGAAAGACATTTATGAGCCTTCGATCAGAAACGACGCAAGCTATTAATGTGATCTCGTGGTTTCTCACGATACTGTTAAGACGTTTACAATAACGCGAGAAGTTATAACTTCTTTCTATTCCCCCACTTTTATTTTGCCATTCTTTCTTTCGTTCATTCATTTGTTCGTTCTTAGTATTTTTCTCTCAGTCTCCGTCGCTTTTTCAATAGTTTACTTTCTTCTCACTGTCACGTTTTCTTTCTTTGTACACTGTCACTCATTTTCTCTATCAGTCTATCGCAATTTCATTTTCTTTTCAATAATTTTACACGATTTTAAATTTAACCATTCTTTATTTTGTGAATTTTCTTAGTTTTTCATCTCATTTTCATCTTTTAACAAGTTTAAATAAGAGTTTTTAATTTTTAAATTTTCCTGTGTATCTCTTTCACTTCTTTTTTCATATTCTATTTTTCTTTCAATTTTTATTTTTTCTCACTCTCTGTCTCTTTTTCTCTGTGACTTTTAATCTTAATTTTTTGTTGATATTCATATTAGCTTTCATAGAACCCATTGCCAGACCTCAGAAATAAAAGTTAGGAATATTCTTTGCTACGCATTTTTCCAAGAAAAACAGCGTTCAAACTGTTTTATTATCTCCCTTGAACACCGGCTTTGTCACTCAGGGAAAAAAAAGCAATTCCCTCGTCACAAATTGGGTCTAGTTTTAATATGGTTTTACATACACTTATTGATTCACTTCAACGACTTTCTTTCCCTTTCTTCTTCTTCTTCTTCTTCTTCTTCTTCTTCTTCTTCTTCTTCTTCTTCTTCTTCTTCTTCTTATCTCTCTCTCTCTTTCGTTCTGATTTGATATTTTACTTCTTTTCGTTTTATGTTGCCATTTTGTATGCATTCTCATTGCTCTCTTCTACTGCATCATTTCCTCTTCCTCTCCTCGTACTTCATCAGAACCCTTTCTTTCCGTCTCTCTCTCTCTCTCTCTCTCTCTCTCTCTCTCTCTCTGACTATCTATCTATCAATCTATCTATCTATCTCTTTCATTTAACTTCTCTTTCTCCAACATTCATCTCTCTCTCTCTCATACACACGCACAAACATACTTTCTCTGTCTCTCTTTGTGTGTGTATATATATATATATATATATATATATTGGTATCATTCTCTTCCAAATCTTTTCTTATCTGTTCCCATTTCTTTTATCTGTAACTCTTTTTCTCCCATATCTCTTTTTCTTTTCTTCCTATCTTCCGTTTATCCAAATCTCTCTCTCTCTTTCTCTCTCTCTGTCTCTCTCTGTCCCTCTGTCTGTCTGTCTGTCTGTCTCTCTCTCTCTCTCTCTCTCTCTCTCTCTCTCTCTGTGTGAATTTATCTGTCTCTCATTGGAAGATTAATAACCGTAAAATGCTCACAGTATTCTAGTTTCCAACTCTCTCTTTAAAATTTGATTTGCACATTGAATCAAGTTATTGTTGGTCTACAAATCTGAACTCTGGATTTTAATGGAAAATCCGGGCGAAGAAATTACGAATCTCTGTGACGCGGGAACTATTTCATGTCCGGGGAAGATGATTTGAATGGTTGGCCACTGACCCACTGTAACCCGACGCTGATTGGCTGAACTCGGCACTGATTTATGATGACGTGTTCATGAAGGCTATCAATTGGCTGTCGGTCTTCTCATTTCTACTCCACTCTGCATTGTCCAATCATACTTCTTTCAACGTCAATCTTTCTTTCCTTCTCTATTCTCTTTCATTCTTTCTTTCTTTAACATTTTGCAGTTGTTTTGTTTTTCTTTAATCTATCCCTGTCTCTTATCTATCTATCTATCTATCTATCTATCTATCTATCTATCTATCTATCTATCTATCTATCTATATATCGTTATATATATATATGCCTGTTCATATAAACTTTACAAATGTCTGTGTTTTTATATTTATTTTCTATTGTCAGTTTGTCTCCAACAATGTCTGTTAGTAAATGTCTACGAGCCACCAATTCTGGTATTTACTACTTCAGATTATGTAATAACCGTTTCAAGACCAACCAGTGGCACATCTTTGTCATTTGAAGAACTGCATGATATTTTGTATCCTTACATATTAGCAAATTTTAATACTTGTAAAATCAGCGATGTCTGTATGGTATATCCTGTGTTCCTTTTCTTCTTCACTGTATGTATCAATCTACGCTCAGGGGATTTAAAAGAAAAAAGAAGAAAATGAGTCGAAATAGATATAAAGGGAGAAGTAAAGACAAGTAAGCAAACAGATAAGTAATGATCAATATATAGCCTGACTGATGCGCATTAATCTGAACATACATATTGATAGATATGAATAGTTTAGGATACTTAGACGAATAAATAGCACTAAAAAAGTCAATTGCGCAAACAATATACAACATATATATATATATATATATATATATATATATATATATATATATATATATATATATATAGAGAGAGAGAGAGAGAGAAGGAGGAGGGGGAGTGAGAAAAGAGAGAGAGTTATGAATTGACTAAAATGGTAAATAGATATAAAATGGAATCATTTGATAGACAAAGACAGATACGAAGAGACTGAGATAGATAGATAGATAGATAGATAGATAGATAGATAGATAGATAGATAGATATGGACAGACTAAAAGAAAGAAAGAAAGAAAGAAAGAAAGAAAGAAAGAAAGAAAGAAAGATGAGAAAAAATGGAAGAAAAGGACAATAGAAAGAAAGAAAGAAAGAAAGATGAGAAAAAATGGAAGAAAAGGACAATAGAAAAAAAGAAACAAAGACAAAAGGAAAATTATAGCCGTACGTTTGCATCGAGTGGGTACGGGCAGCCGCGCCCATCTCAATTTCCCGCCAATTTGTTGCCGGCATCCCCTTCTGTCTTAATTATCGCGTTTGCCTTTACGACTGCGCCAAACCACACCTCCCCTTACTCACACCAAGCCGCAAGCACCTAACGTCAATAGCCACTCTCCGATTTATGGCGCGGAAATCAGAGCGCAACAACAAACAAGTGCTCGCTTATGGACTCCTCTTCCCTATCTTGACTTCTACCTCACAGCAAATGCCTGGCCGTCGCCATCTTGCCTTATTTGGAAGCCATATTGTTTCAGATATTCCTGTCTTCTTTTTTTTCCTTACAAGTTATTGATAGGCTCCTTCTTGTTGTTGTAGAAGGCGATGGAAAGATGGCGGGTGGATCTTCAAATAAAAAAAAATTGTGTGGCGTGGAACGGATGGGTACTCTTGGTTGGGTGGGTAGTTACCGGCACTGACCTTTAATTTTTAGAACACAGCCTGTTTTCTTTTTACTGTTGCAAGGAAATGGTTCACTTGGATGTGTATATTTGTGATATTCATGTCTATACAGACTTTGTTAAGATTAGCCAAGTATGGCTCAAGGCCAAAATTGTGATGCTTGTTTAATAAATAACAATTTCCTAAATTCTTAACTATCACCTTTTTATGTTTTTTTTTTTTTCATAAATGTTCACCCAATCTAAGTTCAAAGTAGAGGATTATTGAATGCGGTTGTTCACTGTACGTAAGAATAGAAAGTAAATGCAAGTTATGTGGATAGATAATGGTTGGCTGTAGATGTGAAAAAGATTAAGCTTGTAGTGACACGAGAGCATCCTTTCTGGCGTCTACTTCACAAAGTAGCAGTTCTCTGGAAGAAGCTGTGTTGACTTCCATCTTACCAATGAAATATAAAGTGAATGTGTGACATAGTGAGTCGTAGCCGTAAAAGTCTGAACAGATGGAATGTAACTCCTCTGAACATTTGTCATAGAAATAGCAATAGATTAGCCATAGCCTTGCGACGTTTCATTTGTGGTAAACAGTAAGTAGGTTTGAAAATAGTTCATCGTCTACATGTCCACGTAAACGATTTTGAACTCTGCCAAGGCTGAAAAGTGAGGATTGAGCAACCCAGATATGGCAGCCATACACCATTTATGGATTGATATGATTCTTGTAAAGATAGATCATGACAGGAAGAGTCAAGTAGTTTCTGGAGCGGTGCAAGGAACTTACCATTTTCTCAACGTTTTTAGCGATGGATTATGTACATAAGCTAGAAAAGATCTTCTGTCGTTCCAGTCTTTAAGAACTTAGGTTCACCTTCTGATCCTTCTAACTATCGGTCTATTAGCCTTCTACCTCTTTTTGGCAAAATACTAGAGGCTCTAACCAACTCTGAATTGGGTAAACATCTCACCACGAAGGGTCTTCTTTCAGATAAGGAATATGGCTTTCACTTCTGTAGATCAACTGCTAATATATTAACGATTATTGCTGAAAGAGTTTATAAAGCGTTAGATAAGAATGAACCTCGGACCGTTGCTTTGGATATTTTGAAGGTATTTGACAGGGTTTGGCATATTGATCTTCTCAAGTTTAAAATTTATGGCATTTGGAGGGGGGCGAAATTTTGAATTGATTCACCCTTTCTTATCAAATCGCGAAATGGAAATGATCTAGAATGGCCACTCTTCTAGATCTTTTTGCATTAATGCAGGTATTCCCCAGGGCTCTAACCTTGGATATACGTTTTTCCTCATTTCCATAAGCAACCTTCCTGATGGCATTAGTTCTCAATTTTGTGTCTAACTATTTACTTCTGTCTTAATAGTTAGTTGAATATGACAGAAAAGGAAAATTTAATTTTTTTATTTAGTTTTTTTCACCATTTTTACATTTTTCTGTTTGATAGTAGTAAAGGAGTGCAAAAATTATCTCTGTTGTTCATTGTCTCAAGCTCTTTCGGTCACTTCTTTAGTCATTTTCTTTAAGTGTTGTAAAATTCTCTTCGGGTTTGACTGTATAACATGTTTTTTTGTTGTTTTGAATACTAGTAGGATCGTATATTCCGGGATTCGTGAACGCGGCTGGAATTCAAGTGAGCGTCTTTCTATTATTTTTTAAAAAATTAAGCACCCCATTACCACTGATGAATAAGGAGGTTGATAGTGGAAGCGAGATGTTTTATATACAGGGCCTCTCTCACAATAAGATGTTTTCAGTAATTTTACTTATATAGAATTTTGTGTTTTCGACCAGAATTTTCTCGAAGGGATCTTGTAAATCGTGAGTAGCTAGATGTTTTTATAGTACTTTGATCTGATAAGTTACATATGAGGTGTCTATTCAAAGAAGTGGTAATATGCCTGATATAGATAATTGATTTATAACAAGACAGACAGTCTTGTACTGGGAAGTGATTTTAGATTTGGTGGGATCATTTTGATTAGTGACATCAAGGTTTGCGGTTTTCCATTTTCTGTAATATATTATAAGTTTTATTTGATTTTCGGAATTTACGGCTGAAATATTTTGTTTAATGATTCTTCGTAGAGCGAATTCTTTCTGCTTATTCTACCACTGGTTACAGTAAAATATGTTGATGTTTTGCTGTGTGTTAATTTTATTGCTGGTGTCATGTGTTTTTTGTAAGAATAATTTTATTTGTTTATCGATGATCTAGTAGAAAATTTTATTTGTTTATCGATGATCTAGTAGAAAATTATTGTTGACTAATGTATATTTTATATATTTTAGTGAACTCAGAAATATCCTTTGGGGAGAAGAATTTTGATGTGCACCATTTAGGAATTTTTTTTATCACTGTTATTTTTTTTTCGGACAATGGTTATCATAGTTTAGAAGGCAAGAGTTCGAACTGGTGTTTTTTATACGGGTAGGTGGTAAATGCTGTGAATTTTAGTTTTATATCGACGTCAAGGAATGGGATTTTATTATTATCCATGAATTCGTATGTAAATTTGAGCGTGTAGTTTTATCAATACTTGATTTTAGATATATAATTTCATCCTTATTTTTTTATCAAAACGAAAATGTCATCAGCGTACCTTGTGCATATTGGTGGTCTGTCAATTGTTTCAAAACAATAATTATATATATATATATATATATATATATATATATATATATAATATATGAAGAAATTTTGAAAAAACAAACAAAAATCCTTAAATGTAGTTAAAATGAAAGAAATGTCGACGTCTGACGTTTCGGTTTAATAAACCTTTTTCAAGACAATATTCATCAAAATACAATTCAGTTCTTCCGTCTAACATGTTAGACGGAAGGCTTCATTAAAAATTTTCAGTTATCTTTTCTGAATAAGACTTGTGTTTTATGTCCATCGTATTTGTCATATTGAACTGAATTGTATTTTGATGAATATTGTCTTGAAAAAGGTTTATTAAACCGAAACGTCAGACGTCGACATTTTTTCATTTAACTACATTTAAGGATTTTGTTTGTTTTTCAAAATTTCTTCATTCTGTCGGATTTATATCCATTTACACTTGCTTATATATATATATATATATATATATATATATATATATATATATATAATTGACATTATTTATCTGTAGGCGAGTGGTGACACATCAACTGAAGTAATATTTTAAGTGGTGATACTTTAAAGCTACAACACTACGGAATTGCTATAAGTTAGTGGGAATTTTCCATGGAGTGCACAAAATTAAATGATTTGGCTACGATCAGTTTAAAAAAAAATAAAATAGGCCCAAAAATCATTAAGATCGTTGACCCGATGGAATTAGAAGCATATTTACAAAGTAAGACTTAAAGAGGCTGAAAGGAAGGAAGGAAGGAAGGAAGGAAGGAAGGAAGGAAGGAAGGAAGGAATTGAAATAGATGTATAGAGAGATAGATTATCGTCTTTTCTTTGATATTTTGACCATTGCTAATTTAAGTTCCGGTTACGTTACAACCCACCCACATCTTTTCCACTTCGCTATTGTATCAACCAAACCAGCATAATTACACGAGCCAGGAATCAAATTGCAGTGTCCTTCATTTCATTTTCTCACGTTTCCAGGCTAATTACCTACCCTGTA